GCAGCCATTTTTTCACAGAAACAAAGGGTGCACACAACACGAGTAGCAAATGAATAAATGAGACGTAAGGTGAACAATGCTCAAGCAACAAATGCTGGACAGAGATTGAGGATCTGTGAAATGGTAGGAGGCTACAGCAGGGTATGCGTACACATCACCTCATTCACATGGATTCAACATAAAGCTCAATGCGCAGCAAATTCAAGTTTTGCTTTTTGGAATCTTTTTTTTTTTTTAATTTCTCAATACACACTTGGTTGAATTCCCAGATACGGAATCTGCAGATGCGGAACCTGTGGATACAGAGGGCTGACTGTACTTTTTAGAGGCTCAGTTCAGTACTCTTACTCACAAATGAGGAAAATGTTGCTATATCTCAGATACAGTATCAGTATTAAGAATATCTAACACACTACTGAACTCACTTGCTAAAAAGACTATTTAAGTACATTTTGCATTTTAGACAATAGGAATAACTTCCCTATGTATGTCAAGAAAATTTTCATGAGAAAGTACAAACAGAACAAAAAGCCTGGTGAAAATAAAATCCTAAAAATCATTCTCTCAGGTTATACACAATAAACACATTCCACCTTCCTACAACATTTATTGATTTCTTTAAACATTCTGAAATCATGAATTATTGCGTTAGGTTTCTACAGCAAACATCTACATCTTTTCTAGGAGCACAAAGTTGTCAGTGTTTGAAACCCTGGTAAGTACAAACATTCCATGCATAAACTGAAGTCCCAATGAAACTTGTCAGAGGATAACTAAGATCACCAAAAATCTGAAACTGAAATATGATAAGCAGTTGAAATACTTTGGTCCTTCCTTTTCTTTCTATTCTACTTGTTGTGTGCCGTCGAGTCAATTCCGACTCATAGTGACCCCATGTGACAGAGTAGAGCTGCCCCATAGGGTTTTCTTGGCTATAATCTTTATGGAAGCAGATCACCAAGTCTTTCTCTCACAGAGCTCCTGGGTGGGTTTGAACTGTCAACCTTTAGGTTAGCAGCCGAGCTGGGAAATCATAAGACTGTATGTAATCCATCATTAAGGAGGGTACTGGGGCTGAGAGAGTAATGAAGATCTACAACATGAAACGAGAGATAGCCTGTATACATAGTATTATCCATACCTCAGTTTTTCCAAGAGTGAATGGAGGAAAAAACTTTCAAAATTGGCCCTCTCTATCTACTGCAATGTCACACTGTCACAGGGTGACCCAGTCTCTTTATACAAGCTTTTGTCCCTTTCTTTCCACTCCCATTATCACCTCCCTAGCCTGATTCCAGATTCTCCCTACTCTAGTAAATACTGTAGATCTCAATATTGCCAAACAAATCTTCATAAAATATCACCTTCATCCTGTCAGTCAATATGGTTCCAGGCTATCCTGAAGTAACAAGATACCAAAAAACCAAACCTGTTGCCGACTAGTCAATTCTGACTCATAGCGACCCTATAAAACCCACTACCATCGAGTCGATTCTGACTCATAGCGACCCCATAGGACTGAGCAAAACTGCCCCACAGGGTTTCTAAGGAGCAGCTGGTGGAACTGAACTGCAGACCTTTTGGTTAGCAGCCGTAGCTCTTAACCACTGTGCCAGCAGGGCTCCGAAGTAAGAAAACTGACGTCTTATCTTTTCCAAACTTTCTCCTGTTACAAAGCCTTTACAAACCTTTTGAACTCAACTCCAAGAAATCTATTCACTATACCACCATCACCTCAAGTCCTTTCCTGCCTCTGCACCTTTGCTCATCCTGAATCCCAGTCTTAAATAACTTCACTCTTTCTCTCTGCCTTAATAACTATTTCTTCATACTCTTTATTCAGCATAGACTGCTTTGAGGCATTGCTTTCACTGTATTAAATTTTAATGTGGATAAGGACTATCGTACCAGAGGGCAGGGAACACAGGTTATACAGAAGATGTCAAGCCCAAGCCCTGGACCAGAAGTTGCAAAGCAGCAGCCCACAAGACAAATTTTGTCCACAATGATGATCTGTTTGACCTGTAGTGTTTCTACATGAATTTGTAAGTCTCATTTAAAAATAAAGATTTCTTACAAAATCTGGACTTCCAGCTTCCCTGTAGAAAAAAGTTAAGGTATTCAGGCAACACTCGTCCTACGTTCCCCTAGATCAACAGTGAGACAATGGTCAAAATGGTGAATTTTATGTTATGTGAATTAACCTCAAAAAAAAATAAAAGTGAGCAAAAGCTACTTAACACAGCTGCCCCTTTAAAGAGACATAAAATCACTAGTTTACTTAAGTCTCAACCTGATTTATCATTACTGATTTAAAATGCTCACCTAACCCTCTAGGCATCTGAATTTGCAATGCTTACTCTAGATAAGCTTACTGGATGAATTAATGAATTGAGATGATAATTTTAATAAAGACAAGATTAACTGTAATAATGATAATGATAACAATAATAGCAACTAACATTTAATGCTTATTGTGAGCTTGGTACTGTTCTAAGCAAAAATACAGTATCTCATTTAATCCACACAACCTTATGGATACATGCTATTATTATTCCTAATCTACAGATGAAGAAACTAAGGCAAAAAGAAGTTAAGCAACTTGGCCAAGGTAATTCTGGCAAAATTTGGTGAAGTCAAAAATTCGTAATCAGACAATCTATACATTCTTAACCCCTACAATATGATTCCTTTAGACTAGCATCCTTTCCTTTGTGATCAACTGAATTGATTATCTGGAACAAAGAATCGTAAGACTGAACTTTAGAGTCCACTCTTTCTCTGCACAAACAACTAAGAAGCAAACCAAAGTTCACTTAAATGCAGATGGCATTTCTGGAGTTTTTGTCTTAAAAAAAAAAAAAAATTGTCTGACGGACAGAGAAAAGGTTGCAGAGCCCAGTAAAATGTTATGTATTTTCTCAGAAAGCAAGTATATCATTAGGCGTATTTCTGGAGTGAGATAAACTCAATGTGAATTCTTAGTTTAAGACTATAAAGTGATGATACAGTATGAAAATTCTTCTGTTTTCTGGTATAGAAGGATGTATCTGTTACGGTAAGCAGTCTCCAGACATGCAAAAAAAATCTGCAAGCTTCTTAAGGTCAGGGACTGCTTTCTTGTCCAATGTTTAGTATACAGCCTTGCACAGAGGAGGCACTTAGCATATATTTAATTATGTTAAAGAAACCAAGAAACCTGAAATTAGTATCTTAACTTACAATACAATGCAATCTTTATTATAGCACTTACCATCTTACTTTTTATGATAATTACTAGCCAGCAAATTTGTTTTCCTAACAAAAAACACAAAATCCTTGAGGCAGGGGTTTTTACATTTGAGTACCCCTCAGGACCTAACACAACAGAGGCTTAACAAATGTTTGCTGAATATTACAAAATTAGTGAGCCAGCACATGAAACACAATGAGTGAGCTATAAGGAACCTGACAGATCATATTCACTACATTCACTAGACAAGTGAGGAAACTGGCACAGAGAGATTTACTAAGTGAATTGCCCACAATCTACGTAACCAAGCAATATCATGGCTAGAACCAAGGTCTCCTGAATTCTGACCCACTTATCTTTCCACAAAGAACTGCTTTGTGAGCTAAGGATGAAATGGATACTTTGAGAAATATTTTAAAGATATTTGGTATAGAGAATTATCTTTCCCAGAACGTAACTTTTTGAGAGGTATTATGTCACCATCAAAGACATAAAAGCTGCTTTGTTCCTGTACTACAGATAACACCATCTTCTTTTCACGTGCTCCTTATTTTTCATTTTCATGTCTTTCATCATCTTCTGAGACCTCCTCTTCTCACCATTTGTTTACCTACTTTCCCTTTTACTTCCTTTCTTCATATCTCTCACAAACACCCCACCATCTCTTTCCTTTCTTTCCATAATTATCAAAAAGAATAATTTAACCCATATTTGATTATAGCATTGGCCTGGGACACCACAATGAGCAAATCACAGCCTTGATCTCTAAGCATTTATATGGCAATTAGTTAACAAATACATAAACTAAACACAAAGGGTCATAGAGATGAATTAATAATAAACACTGATGTTTATTTACAATGGAGACAAGAACCTAAGTATGGATGAGACATTTATGTGAAGGGAGGTGGTATGACAATGACAATTAATATTCTCAAGGTTAGGGTTAGACAAGTGAAAGAGATCACTCTCTTCCTATTCAGCTTTCTCAACTACCGATTCATCTGCTCTAATTCACTCATTCCCTAGTCTCTCTGACTGCTTGATTTTCTCTATGCTCTACTCTCTTTGTTTTATCCAGTAATCTTCCTTTTCTTTCTTCTGATCATTTAAAGTGAATCTGTTCTGTCCTCATGTTTTCCTTTTCATTATTATTGCCAACTTCTCCCACCTTGCAAATCTAGATAATACCTGAAGTTGTGAATTCATTCTTTTCCAAAAATTAAATATGTATTATTAGATTTGATCCTCACAACAATGCCAGGGAGGCAACAGGAATCTATTTTACAGATATATAAACTGAGGTCTAGCAAGGCTAAATGACTTGCCAAAAGTCACACAGCTTATTAGTGGCAAAATCAAATCAGAACCCAGGTCTTTTCTTTAAGACCTCTATTCTTTTCCACTGCCTTCTTTTTAATTCCTCCACGTCTTAACCACACATATGCACATGTCTGGACAAGTATACATAAAGATTAATATTTATAAAACAGCACACGTAGAAGATGTATGTGCGTATGCCCAAGGGAGCTAGAAAAAGACAAGTCAGAAAACTTAAATTAAGAGCACAGCATGGCCCACAGTCTCATCCTTGCAGATGAGGGTGTGGGTTTCAGATCCAAGTGGAAACTGCCTATGTCTTCAACCCACTGATGCAGCCAGCATCAACACTGGTCTCTCTCCACACACCCCCTGCCCCCGCACAAGAGTTATATGTGGCCTGTACCACTTTTACTCCCAAATCTATCTCACAGGAATACCACCATACCTGAAGCTCCCACTCTTCGAGTCACTTCTTTGGGTTAAGGTGTTGTCTCCAGAAGGCCACTGTTAAATGCATGTTACCTGAGAGGGGAAGGAGGGTCCATTAACACGCTGCTTCTATGGTTAAACACATCATTAGCGACGACCTTGGGAATCTGACAGCACAAGTTCTTTAAAAGCAAGTTCAATGAGATAAATAATTTTTGATGGGGTGGGCAGGCAGGATGAGGGCATGAGTGAGGAGCAAACGAGTCATAGCATGGAGGATGTCCACCTGAGTATGATGGCCACATGGCAAAATGAGGATGGCCGTGTAAACATAGACTCTACCTACTAGGGTCACCATAAGGACAGCCCTCTGAAACCTGGAGGCTCCTGGGTATAGTCAGTTCTGAAGAGAAGCGAAAGAGCTGAGCTGGCAGCAGTTTTCCAAAGACGAAGCACTGAAAGACTGGAGGAGGACACAGGCAGGAACAGCTTCTGGTTAACTACCTCTAGTTGTAAGGCTAGTTTCTGACCCAACATTTTTAGCTGAGGGCCGACCTCCCAACCAGAGAATGTTGTAATTCAATTCTGTGAACCCCTGGCTAATTTATATTGACTCAAAGCCAGAATCATTTACAGCCACAAAAATCAACATGCCTTTACTGAGTGCTTATTATGAGCCCAGAATTTGGCTAGGTGCTATAAACACACAGAAAAATAACTTTATATACTTTTGTCTTCATTTATATAAAGGAAACCAAACCCCAAACTCCAAACCCCAAGATTGAGAGAGGGGTGAGGAACAAAAAAGAAGCAGAAAAAACAGGTGATTTACTCCTGTCAGTACTAACACAAATTTCTTGAATGAATACAACAAAACTCACCTCTAAGCCAAAGTTCCTTGTTAAACTCTTGCCTAAACAGTCAAGAGACATGGTCTAGAAATTATATATATATATATATATATATAGTCTAATACCAGAATCTCTTTAGTAGCACACATTTATCTTAGTACACTGGAAGAATAACAGACCGGAGTTACAAAACCTGGGTTAAAGTTCTAGCTCTGACTCTTAACTAGTTTTAGGTAAATTATCTAACCTCTTTAGGTCTCTCTCTTTTTTTAAGCAAAAAGAAAACTAAGAGTCTGGACCAGCTCAAGAATAGCATATACCTGGCATTCGTATCATCCACTAGATAAGTGATACACAGGAAGCATCACTAATCAATTCCCAGAGAACTCATATGACCAGAATTCTTCTTAACACAGTGCTTCTGGCAGCTATTTCCAATCAGAGTTGGCCCATAAGCCACAATACATTTGTCACTGTAAACTAGATGATCCCTACAATTTCTTCCAACTCTAAAATTCAAGTACTAAGTTTCTGTAGAGTGGGAGAAAAATCTCTTCCAACAAGCTTAAATCAATAGTGTTGATGGTCATAAATATATAAGTCTAAACTCCAAGTCCTCCTCCAAATTGCACCTGACCTGGTTCTTTCTAAGTTCTCAAAGATGCTAACGAACAATTCACTCTGATACTATTAACATGTGTAACCTGACAATATTATTCAGACTTGTTAATAGGTTCTTTTGATAGAAAAAAAAGGAGTCCTTTATCCAGACCTAAAAAAAAACTCATCCAAAAATACAGCAACAATACTGCACTACTAAAGTGTTAAATTCAATCCTTTGATTATCCCCACAACCTCTCTCCAAGGTTAGTCCTTGTTACCTTTCACCTACAAGCCGAAACTTTGGTGGTTAAAATCTACTCAGAGGCACCTCAGAAGACAGGCTTGGCAATCTGCTCCTGAAAGGTCACAGCCTTGAAAACCCTAAGGAGCAGTCCTACTCTGCATACACACACGGGGTCGCCATGAGTCACAATCGACTAGATGATGGCAACTAACAAGAGTCTGCAACAGCCACTCTCCCATCTTTTCACTCTTTTATCTCCAGAGCAGTCTTTCCAAATTACACATGCATTTACATCCTTCACTGTTTACAAATCTGTACCTATTACTATCCACATAAAATTCAAATTTTTTAGCATTATACTTAGAACTTTTCACACAGGTGACTCATTTTACCTTTCTGGCCTCATGTCCCACAACCCTTTCCTTCTCCTATCCTTTTTCTTACACAATCCTCTACATTTACACACAGCATTAAGGTAGTTCCTCTGCCTGCCCTGTCCTTCCTTTTCCCCACCTCTGTCATACTCCTACTCATCATCTAAGACCCAACTTCAGGTCCAGGGGTAGAGTCTGCCTACTTTTCTAGTAAATCCCCAGATAGAACTGGTCACTTGCTCCTCTCCCGTCTCAAAGATTTTTTAGCTGTCCTCTGTATATCCAGAGTATTGTTTACATCAGTGGTTCCCAAGACCATCAGAATTACCTGAGCCATGTTTTAAAAATAAAATCTTAGAGGCCTAATCCAGACATACTGGATTAATGAGGAGGTGAGATCCTGAAATTTCTACTTTTAAAAAGCTCCCTAATTATTCTAATAGTCAAATTTGAAAACCACTAGTTTGTCTGTCTCTCCCAACAGATGTAATGATGTGCTGGTCTCAGGGAACATCTAGCTCAATTGGTATAGCAGTTTATAAAGAAAATGTTCTACATTCTACCTTGGTAAGTAGCGTCGGGGGTCTTAAAAGCCTGTGAGCACCCATCTAAGATACTCCACTGGTCTCACCCCTTCAGGAGCAAGGGAGAATGAAGAAAACTAAAGACATAACGGCAAGATTAGTCCAAAGGACTAATGGACCACAACTACCACGGCCTCCACCAGACTAAGTCCAGTACAACTAGATGGTGCCCAGCTACCACCACTGACTGGTCTGACAGGGATCACAACAGAGGGTCCCGGACAGAGCTGGAGAAAAATGCAGAACAAAATTCTAACTCACAAAAAAAGACCAGACTTACTGGCCTGACAGAGACTGGAGAAACCCTGAGAGTACGGCCCCCGGGCACCCTTTAGCTCAGTAAGGAAGTCACTCCCGAGGTTCACCCTTCAGCCAAAGATCAGACAGCCCCATAAAACAAAACGAGACTAATGGGGCACAACAGTCCAGGGACAAGGACCAGAAGGCAGGAGGGGACAGGAAAGCTGGTAAAAGGAACCCAAGGTCAAGAAGGGAGAGTGTTGACATGTCGTGGAGTTGTTATCCACTGTCATAAACAATACATGTACTAACTATTGAATGAGAAACTATTTGTTCTGTAAACCCTCATCTAATGTATAATTTAAAAAAGAAGAATGTAGAAATGGTTTACTCCAGAATACACTTAAGACGTTTTCTGCACTCATTTTTTAATTCATATCATATCCTTGTTGATCTGTATGCTGAAGAAGAATTCTTTTTGGATTCACACCCAAAAAAACTTACATTCACTGTTCAAAAAAGGTGTTGAATTTCCACTTTCATTTCTAGATCTCAGAATTGAAGTAACTCTACCTTGAGTAAACCCGTGAATACACAGGGCAGGCTCTCACCAGATCTGGCAGGAGAACTTTATTTGGACTGAGAAACAAATCCTTAGCAGATTTTGAGAGTGGAAATACACTGCCTTTACATACTTAAATGAGCCTGTGGCGCAGTGGTTAAAGTTATCGGCTACCAACGGAAAAAGGTCCGGTTCCAACCCACCAGCCACTCCACGCGGAAAAAAGATGTGGCAGTCAGCTTCCAAAAAGATTTACAGACTTGGAAATCCTAGGACAGCTCCACTCTGTCCTACAGGGTCGCTAGGAGCCAGAATCGACTAGATGGCAGTGGGTTTGGTTTGGGATTTACATACTTAAAATCAAATTATATTATGAACAGACACCGAAGGAAATGATTTAAGTGCAAAGATAAGTAAGTAGCTGACTGGCTCAGGGCCTCATTAATTTCCAAAGAAAAATCTCACTCTTGCGACCCCATTCCCCCCGCCCCTCAAAAAAACTATATTGCAGCTGTGGAATAGTAACAGATAATGTAACAAGATTAAGATATTGATACAACCAAGAAAACAAGTTGTCATTGGGGAATCGTGAATTTCGTGTAGTTTGCAAGTTCACGTGGTTGAGTCGACGAACTTTAGGCCCAACATCTGTCTCGGCAGCACAGACCCTGTGTTTCTCTCTCTTTAAGTCTCGGCCCGGAACTAAGTGTGAAAACTTGAGTTCCCCACTTGAATTCATGCCCTCATCACGTTTCGACCCTTAAAATACGTTCACGGCTACTTTTTTATTTTCTTTACTAAAGAAAAGGGCATTCTCAGGAAGGAGAATGATGACAGCTCCACGTCTGCAAACGGCGCGGAGAGGCGCCAGAGGGACCGCGACGGTAGCGGGCACCGGGAGGGGCGTCCGGACCGGGACCACCACGCTGGGGGACAATGGAGAGAGAAGCAGAGGAGGCAGCCGCTGTACTGGGGCCCCGTCGCGACTGGGGGCTCCGAAAAGTCTTTGAGAAGGCCAGACCGGCAGCAGGTGGGCCTGGCCGCCGCCCCTCACAGGGGCCACGTCGCCCGCGCCGGCCGCAGCCGCCGGGCCCTGTGCGTAGGCCGGGCCGCGGGCGAGTAGCTCCCGGGCGGGGTGACCGGGCGCGGACTAGACCCTGGCCTCGGCGGCCGCGACCCAGCCCTCTCACAACTTGGCGCCCGCGAAGCTAGGGGCTCCAAGAGCCTCAGCCCAGCACTGGCCTCTCGGACAGTCTGTCCGACCCACCCCGCGCCCGGCCTTGGACACCAGCCCGAGCTACCCGCGCCCCCCACAGGCACCAGCGGAGGGAAGGCGCTGCCGCGGCTCTGGGGTCACGCCTCGCGCTCCGCACTCCTCCACTCCTCCTTCTCCCAAGACACTTTTACCAGAGTTATCCCCTCTCCCTAGAACCGCCCCCAGTCCGCCTGCGAGTGTTTACCGGGACTCGGAGCGGCGGCGATTCCTCAATCCCTCGACTAAGATGGCAGCCGGTCCCGAGCCCCGACCACAGCCACCAGAGCGAGTTGGCGGCCAACGCGCAGGCGCCTCCGCTCAAGAGCGGCCTGGACTACAAGCCCCAGCAGGCCTTGCGCGCCGGCCGGCTGCAGGTCCTGAAGCGCTGAGAGGGGTTAGTGAGCGCAGCTAAAGCGGAGGTTCCACGCCCCCAGGTGTAAGGAACTCTTGGATTGGCTCCCAGCACCTTTAGGCTTTTATTATTATTATTATTGTTTTTCAAACCACCCTCCCCGAGGCCTGGTGGGGCAGTGGTTAAGAGCTCGGTTGCTAACCAAAAAGGTCGGCAGTTCGAATCCACCAACTGCTCCTTGGAAACCCCACAGGGGCCGTTGTACTCTGTCGCTATGAGTTGGAAACAACTCAAAGGCAACGGATATATATATCCCCAGAACTTCAAAGATTACAGTTGTGGTTCCCAAACTCTAGTGTGCATCAAAGGGACTTGTTAAAATATAGATTGCTGGGGCCCACCCCCGGAGTTTCTGATTAATAGGTGTAGGGTGGGATCTGATCGTTTGCATTTCTAACGAGCTCTCTGGTGATACTACGTACTCGTGGAGGATCACACCCTAAGAGCCACTGAATTATACCAACACCAAAAAAAACCGTTGCCATCGAGTCGATTCCAACTCATAGCGACCCTAGAATGTACACTCTGGAGTTACATTGATGAGGTTCAAATCCCCCCTTCTCCACCTCTTCAGAGAGTGCTCTTAGGGATGATGATAATAGCTTACATTTAAACAGTGCCAACGTGGCAGGTGTTCTACGAACCGATTTATACACAAAAAAATATATATTTTTCTGCTCCCCGACCACCCCCCAACTAATTTTTGTCCGGTTAAGAGTATACAGCCCGTTGCCCTCGAGTCCATTCCGACTCATAGCGACCCTACAGGACAGGGTAGAACTGCCCTACAGGGTTACCAAGGAGCGGCTGGTGGATTCCAACTGCCTGACCTTTTGGTTATCAGTGGAGCTCTTAACCGCTGTGCAACCAGGGCTCCTAAGAATATATGCTCTAGCGGGGTTTTCTAATTAGTGTCCCAGGTGATTCTTGTCACCAGGTAAGTTTGGAAAACTTAGTGATCCTTTAAGGTATGAGGTATTTTTATGACCATTCAACAGAGAAGGAAACCGAGTCTCAAGTAAATTAAATGACTGATCCAAGAACACTCAGCCAGGAGCCAAAGATCCAACCCAAGTCATCAGGCTCCAGATTCTGTTTGTCTACTTTTTTTTTTTTTTTTTTTTTTACTTTTACAGCAAAATCTGCTCCCCTTCAACAGTTTCTGGACATAATGTAACCAGTGATATTGGTTACATTCATCACATTGTGTCAACATTCCCCTTATTTCTATTCTAGTTGTTTCACTCCCATTGACTTAAACTCCCTGTCCCCAACCTTCTCATCTATGTTTTAAAATAGCTATTGTTCATTTGGTCTTATATAGATGATTTTTTAAAAGAACGTAATACTCAAGGATGACAATCTTTACTCTTTGAGCTAAACTGTTACTTAGTTTTTTTGGGTAGTTTTTTTTTTTTTTTTTTTTGGTACTTTAGACAAAGGTTTACAGAACAAACTAGCTTCTCATTAAACAGTTAGTACACATATTGTTTTATGACATTGGTTAACAACCCCACAACATGTCAACACTCTCCCTTCTCAACCTTGGGTTCCCTCTTACCAGCTTTCCTGTCCCCTCCTGCCTTCTAGTCCTTGCCCCTGGGCTGGTGTGCCCCTTTAGTCTTGTTTTGTTTTATGGGCCTGTCTAACCTTTGGCTGAAGGGTGAACCTCAGGAGTGACTTCATTACTGAGCTAAAAAGGTGTCCGCAGGCCATACTCTCAGGCCTTCTCCAGTCTCTGTCAGACCAGTAAGTCTGGTCTTTTTCTGTGAGTTAGAATTTTGCTGTACATTTTTCTCCAGCTCTATCCGGGACCCTCTATTGTGATCCCTGTCAGACCAGTCAGTGGTGGTAGCCGGGCACCATCTAGTTGTGCTGGACTCAGTCTGGTGGAGGCTGTGGTAGTTGTGGTCCATTAGTCCTTTGGATTAATCTTGCCATTATGTCTTTAGTTTTCTTCATTCTCCCTTGCTCCTGAAGGGGTGAGACCAGTGGAGTCTCTTGGATGGCTGCTCACAAACCTTTAAGACCCCAGACACTACTCACCAGAGTAGAATGTAGAACATATTCTTTATAAACTATGTTATGCCAATTGAGCTACATGTTCTCCAAGATCATGGTCCCCACAGCTCTCAGCCCAGTAATTTGGTCCTTCAGGGAGTTTGGATGTATCTATGGAGCTTGCATGACCTTGCGTTATACAAGTTGTGCTGAACTCCCCAATATTGTGTACTGTCTTACCCTTCACCAAAGTTACCACTTATCTATTATCTATTTAGTTAAACTGTTACTTAGTTTAAGGTGACTTCAGGGAATAGTTTTGAATCAAAGTTTAAAGAGTAACTCAGGGCAATAGTCTCAGGGACTCCTCCAGCCTCAATAGGTCCAGTAAGTCTGGATTTCTCCGAGAATTTGAAGTTCTGTTCTACATTTTTCTCCCTTTTTATCAGGATCCATCTATTGTGTCCCTGATAGAACATTGGGTAGAGGTAGATAGGCACCATGTAGTTCTTCTGGCCTCAAGGTAGAGGAGGCAGTGGTTCATATTAGTTCCATAACGCAGTTCCTTCTCTGATTCTTGGGTTTCCTTCTTTCTCTTTTGTTCTAGATGAATAGAAACCAATAGTTGTATCTAAGATGGCTGCTCATAAGCTTTTAAGACTCAAGACACTACTCACCATCCTGGGAGGTAGTACATAAACTTTAAGAACTATATTATGCCAATTGACTGGATTGTCCCATGAGACCATGACCCTAAGCCTTTAAACCAAGAGAACTAATCCCATGAGGTGACTGGTTATGTCTAATTAGTATCAGCATCTGTAGCCTGTAGCCCTCCACTTTTTGTTGTTTTGGTTGTTGTTATTGTTGTAAAGTTATATATAACAGTATTTGCCAATTTATCCTTTTTTCTTATGTACAGTTTATTGACATCAATTATAGTTGTTAAGCTGGGCAAACTTTACCCACATTTGGAGCCACCTTTCCCATCACCATAGACAAAAAGTGACCACTGCCTAGGGAATGCTTCCCCATCTTCCCCTTCCCTTACCCCTGGTAACCACCAATGAACATTGGTCCCTATTCTTGTCATTTCATAAAAGCGAGAACATACAATATTTGTCTTTTTATGATTGACGTATTTCACTCAACATGATGTCCTCCAGGTTCATCCATGTTGTAAGACATTTTGGGAACTCATTTTTCTTTATGGCTTAGTATTCCATTGTATGTATGTACTACACTTTGTTTATCCATTCATCTGTTGATGGGCACTGTCCACAGTTTTTAAAACTATATAAATATTACCCAAAACTAATCTATGGTATTAGAACTCAGGGTAGTGGTTACCCTTTGAGGGGAGGTAGTACCTGGAAGGAGGCACAAAAGGAGCTTCTGTGCTGGTTATAATGTTCTGTAGCTTGATCTGGTTCCCAGGTGTGTTCACTTTGTGAAAACTCATTGAGCCATATACTTATGAATTGTGTATTTTCTGTATTCATATTATACTTCAATCAAAATTTACTTTAAAAAATGTTTTAAATGCATACTTGTTTTGTTACAAAAATGCATCTCTTTCCACTACATGCCAAAGGTTCTCAAGCTTTACAGTGCATCAGAATTACCTGAAGGGCTTGTTAAAATAGATTGCTGGGTGTCACCTCAACATTTCTGAATCAGAAAGTCTAGGGCAAGTCCCAAGAATTTGCATTTCTAACAAGTTCCCAGGTGATGCTGATGCCCACGGATGACACTTTGAGACCACTGGACTACACTATCCTAACCTTCTTCCTACCACCAACGGAGTAGATCAGTTCTGACAAGGAAGGCAGCATCTAGGAGGAGTTAAAAATTTGGGCTTTGGAGCCATACAAATCAAGGATCTAGTCCTGATTCTGTGAACAACTTGCTTAGGGGTCTTAGGCAAGTCATCTGAACCCCGGTGACCAAATCTCTAAACAGGAATAAAAGAGCCTATCTCCTAGGATGTTGTGAAGATTCTAGGAGATCAAAGGTAGGTAGTTGATGGTTCTCCAAGGAGAAGCTGAGTTGGTGAGTGCAGGGATCCCAGCTTGGCTGTCTGTTCATCTTCCATGCAGTGTGAATGGATCCAGAACTCAGAGCAGTCTTGGCCTAGTCAGAATGCAGGGTCAGGGGCTGATCAAGCCTCAAGCCACCTTCACCTTTCTGTCAGAGCAGGAACAGGAGGTGGAGAAGAGGCCACCACCAGAAAGGAAAGGAGCTTCCCAGGCCTCTCAGGCAAGGAGGACGGATGGAAGCAGGATGCAGTGTCAGAAGGAGTAGGGAGAGAAACTCCAGTGGCCCACATGCCAGCTTTCCCTGCAGAACACTTAGTCACACTGCTGTCCCCTCTTCCCAGGAGCCACTCTGCTTTCAACTGCCAGAATCAGGGGAAGGCTTGAAAAGTGGCAGAGCTCTGTGTTGATGGAGAGAGAAGTCACTGGACAGAGTTTCTGGAAGCCTAATATCTGGACCCAGACAGACCACTGAAGACTTGAGGCTGTAGCTACATCATTTCCCCTTTTTGAGACTGTTTCCTCATCTGTAAAATGACATGCACAATCTCTATTCCTAGGCATCTCAGCCATTCAGGGTTGCCAGTTTAGTAAATAAAAATACAAGCTGTTGTTGTGTGCAGCCGAGTCAATTCCAACTCACGGCAACACTATATGACGGAGTAGAACTGCCCCATAAGGTTTTCTAGGCTGTAATCTTTACAGGAACAGATCACCAGGTCTTTTCTCCCGTGGAGCCACTGGTGGGTTTGAACCATCAACCTTTTGGTTAGCAGCTGTCATGGATTGAAGTGTGTCCCCCAAAAATATCTCTCAACTTGGCTAGGTCATGATTCCCAGTATCATATGACTGTCTACCAT